ACATTGTCCTAGTCCCAATGTTTCCGCTCAATGAGATTCTCTCTTCCCTGGGGAAGGATCGAGTAAGATATTAGAGACAGACCAGAGAAGACATCACCAATGCAGTACCTCTAGTAAGATGCTTACCTGGAGGTTAGACGTACTCTATGCCTTCATGGATCCTGCAGTCTAGTGGGGAGACAGCCTACTTTAGCACCTTGTGGGAAGTGTTAGGGTAATGAAGGCACTGACAGTGATGGAAATCAGCATACCCTTCCCTCCCTCCGGGAAGGGGTGACACCTGCCCGAGACTGAGGAATGGGTAGGCATGGTGCAAGGCAGGAGTGAGGAATGCTATATGATTACAGGATGATCACAGACAGGCTGAGTGATGACAAGCGGCATGTGAGTGTGGAATTGTACATGGCCCAGTGGCAGGCGAAGGGCACTCTGTGCCTCCCTCCTCGGTGCCCACTGGTATTTCCAGTGTCCTGCTTAACAGCTCCATATGGATGTGCCGCAGCCACAAAATCCATCATGTTCCAAAGTCTAGCTCAGTGTACCCATTGTCTCCTACGGTTGGATAATATTTTGAGACGTTAATTTATAATTCTTTTTTCATTTTGTACTTACTTTTTTGTTGCCTCAGGAGAAATATATGGCAGGGTGAAAAGGAGTTCTTTCCTTACTGTCAAAACCTTATGCCCTAGACAGGAGACAGAAGAGCCGGTCAAAGAAGATGTTTGCTGAAAAAAGCAGAAGAAAGAAGAAGCCTAACTCTAAGAAGAGCTGCTCTTGTTATCTGGAAAGAAAAGCATGTCCAGTGAGACCCTAAGTACAGATGACTGAGGACGGTGAAGCTTAGCAGGATGCTCTTGAGACTCGGTTTTCTTCAGACTCTAGTAGAAGAGTTGGAACAGGAAAGAGCTCAAAGTAGAGAGCAAGTGTGCACAGCAGGGCCATCTCCTCTGCGGCGACTGGACACCAAGGACTTGCCCCCACTTCCTGTCACCACCACTCACTCAGGGCAGGGAACAGCATATGCTTTTGTAACTTTGTCCCTACTCAAAGAATGTGGCAAAACCTTAAGAAAGACAAAGACCTTGAAAGTGAAACAAAATGATGTGCTAACTGCTGCAAGCTCACACTGAGGGTTTCCCTCTGTTCTCTTTTGTGTCTCCAGGGCTGAGTGACCTTTGCACCTTCTTCCTCTGGCTTTCCTAGCAGTGGCTTGCTGGTGGGAAACACAACACTGGCACAGAGGTAGAGGGCAGGAGGAGCCAAGGGGAGGAGAATCTAGGCAGGGTACTCCCCCGATTTTTCCCAGGTGCTTTGGCAGCTGGCCCTGCTTCCTGGCCCTCGCTCTGGCAGCCTGCACTCTGCCTCCTCACTTACCTCCCCAGGTAGAAACTGAGGTGGCTGATTTCTGGGTTACTTCACTATGTCCCAGTTAGTTTCTGAGGTTTTTCATCTCTGCCTTACCAATTCCCTGCATTCAATGATCTGTGTGTCTTTTAAATAGTCTCCATTTTCGTGGTTAGACTCTGTGCGAAGGCTCTGTGTGAAATAAGTTAGTTTCTAGGAAAGGTGATATTGTGTTTCTTCCACACCTACCTTGGTAGTTTGTTTCTTGGTGTTAGGTTGTTACCAAGTTTGCCTATCCTGTTCTCTCAAGCTGGTTGTCTGCTAGGCGACAGTATTTATGTTGATATATAATCCTATACAGACCACTAACATTTTAAAGTGATTGTTTTGGGGAAAGGATACATTGAGACAAAGATAAAACCACAAAAGATGCATTTGCGATGCAACACTGGAATTCCTAGGTTCAGAATGCCTTTCAAATCACAAGTTCAATTCTACTTCCATGAAGTATGTCATTTTTAATAGAGTGAAAATAGATTATCAATGAGCACAAAAAACCTCTGGGAAGGACTTTGACACCATTTCCACCTCTTGAATCCCCTGTACCCACAGCCCTTGCAGCCTACACCCAATGTGATTAAGACAGTACCAAGTCAGAACCCATGGGTGGCACATATGCACCCCCGAATGGGTCACATAAAGCTATTACCACCTATTACCAAGTGGTGAAGTGGTTTATTGGGTGTTCTTTGGGACACTCAAGGATGGACCCATGTTTGGTTGGGTGAAGAGTTGGGAGATGGATGCATGAAGCACCTCCTAGAAAGGAAGGTAATTTGGAAACAATATTTTCTCAAGAGGACCAGCCTTGAGCCTGATGAACTAAGTGGGCAAATCAGAACGTTATTGCTTTTGGCCGAAGATCACTGGCAAACTTTCAGAACAAAGGGCAAGTACAAGGCATTCTTCTAAAAAGGTTGTAAGGGCAGGAGGACAAATGATATTCAGTTTCTGAAAATAAACTATATAATGGTTTACAGGTGCTCTTACAAGAAGGATCATCAGAACAACTGTGTCAAAAAGATCAAAATCTGAAGTAACTGTATTCTTCCCAAGTACAGATAAAAAAAAAAAAAAAAAAAAGACCAAAAGAAGGGGAAAATCCTTTCCCTTATTCAAAGTATGTTGTTCTAGGTTCCTTATTTGATAAATTATATGAAAAATTAAATTGGAAAAAAAGTAAATGATGTTGTTCAAAATTGTTTGGAGAATCTTCACGAAAATTTCATCTTTCCTTTACTCTCCTACATATTTAAGGGTACATGAAAAGCAGTAGGATAAAATTTTCTGTAGCGGAAAACTGCCAGGAATCATCCCTTGGACTGAAGTGGTGGTCGTGGTGGTGTTGTATTTATTGACTTTTGTATTGTCAAGAACATATCCAATTTGAATCAAGAATTGTTTAAATTTGTGTTGATGTCCACCGAATTTATACTTTTTATGTTCATATAAAGCATTAAAAAAACAAAATGAAACAACAAACTGTTGGCTTGACACTGCTAAATTTACATGTATAAATGCTAAGGTTCTCTGGGCGTATTCACACCCATCTCTGCCAATCAATGACTAGCTATGTGACCTTGAAGTTCCTTACATTTTTTGCAGTAAAAAAAACATGGATCACCATGTTGAGAGATAAATTTGGCAATGCATGCAAAAAGGCCTGGCACACAGTAATATCTGAATCAATGTCAGTAAACCGTTTATCCCTGAGCTTAATCAGGTTGGCAGAAATGTATACGAATTGAGGGGGAAAAAAAGATATTGATGAAAGAAACAATTTCTTACAAGATTGTAAAAGATCAAAGAAAACAATTTCTTGCAAGAATAGAAAAGATCAAGCCTGTAGATTCAAAACTAGGTAATCCAATCAAAATGTGAATTTGAACTTCACCTTCCGCACACATTCACTGAAAATTTAGTAAGACTGACACTACAATTTGTAAATTCATGGGCAGACTCCAGTCTTCTCTACGCCTGCTCAGTGCCTTCAAGCACAGACTGGAAAATGACACACAGGAGCACACCACTGCGCTGGGGAAGCCTGCCTGCGCCTCCCCAGGCCTGCAAACCCGAGCTCTGCAGTTGCAGTGCAGGGTCTGGGCTGGGGAGGGTGTGTTTACCCTCCACCCCGGCCCCCCCCTCCGCAGCCCCCTGGGCCCTGCCAACTTCTCAGGCCTCCAGGCGCCTCCACCGCCCGCTGCCCGCCGCCCGCCCTTCCTCCCGGGGCGTGAGCCGGGCGCGGGAGGCGGGCCCAGCGCTGACGGGCTGCGCCTCTGCAGCGCGAGGGAGGCGCGGGAAGGCGGGCGGCGGCGGCGGAGGCGGAGAGGAGGTGGAGGAGGCGGGGACTGCGCCGGGCGGTAGCTGGCGCCCAGAGCGGTGGGAGAGGAGCGGGTACCCGCGGGCTCGGTTGCGGCCTCTGCCCGCATCTCGGCGCCGCAGCCCCGCGCCTCTCCGCCCTTGTCTGGGGTCAGCGGCCCGGGCCCGGAGGAGGCGGTGGAGCGCTGAGCCGCTGGTAGGTTGCACGGGGACCGCGGCTCCGTCTGCAACCTTTTGTGCCGCAGAATAGGTGGTAGTGATGGGTGGGGGTGGAGAAGGTGCCCCTTTCCCGAGCCGGGTGCCAGTGCCGATCCGGCGCCTCCCTTTCCTCTTCGCCTCGTGTCCGGGCGAGGCGCGCGGTGGCGGCAGCCCCGGCCGGGCAGGCTTCGGGATGCGAGCTGCTGCGGCCTCAGTGTCCCTGGCCTCGGCCGCTGGGTCCCGCCCGCGCTGGGGGCTGCGGGCTGGGACCTGGGTGGGGCGCGCAGGGTGGGCAGAGCCCGCAGCGCCCTGACACGGGGTGGGGCCGGAGCCGCCGCGAGTGTGCGGCGCGTGTGAGTGCGGGGGCGTGCGCCCTGGGCGCGCGCGGCGTGCGCTCGGCGGGAAGGTGCGGGACTCAGGTCCGGATCGCCTCGCCCGGGGCCGCGGCGTGGAAGTCGGGGTGCGTTGGCGCGCGGCGCGGGCCCGCGGGCCCCGGGGCTTGGGGGTGCATTGAGAAGTAGCTTTTCCTGGGCCTGCTGCGCCCTTGGCCAGAGGCCCGCCCAGGAGCAGGATGCAAGTGCCCGGGCCAGATAGCGCCCGCCCGGGCCGGTCTCCGTGGCCTTATCGCGCTCGCCGCGTCCGACCGCGGTGCAGCCTGGTGGCCCGGCCGTCGGCGTGGCTGGCCGTTCGGGCTGGCGGTGGCCGCGCGCGTGTGCGGATCGGGCTCTAGGCCGGCCCGAAGCGAAAGCGGCAGATGTGGCCGAGCATCGCCGCCCTTGCCCCACCTGTCGCGGGTGGAGTTGGGGCTGCTGGGAAGCGCAGAGAGAGGGTTTCGAGGAGGGCAGCACTAAGACCTGAAGTAGCGGCCCCATTGTGAAGCTGCCAAACTCTAGTGGAATCCGCAAATCTGTGCAGGAAGAAGCCTAGAACGCAGAGAACAGTGGCCCCGTCCTTTTCCCTCCAGAGCATTCCGCATCCTCAGGGACTCCCAGCTTCTCTACCCACGCCGCCCAGCACCGGCTGGGTCGGAGATCTGTGCAAGCGTGTGCGTGGATTTCTGCAAGTGAGTGTCTGTGGCCGTGGTGCACAGGGGGAACCGGTGCTGGGGCTTGTTAGTCTTTTGGAGAGGAGGAAGAATGGAGGCAGCCGCCTTTTACAGTGAGCTTGCCACTCCTGTCCAGAGAACAGTTCTTGCGCTACATTTCTGCCTTTAGTGAAACTCCTCATTTTATATTGTTTTCTCAAAAAGCTGCCATTCAGTTTAGATTTTTAGAACATTTTTTTTTTTCTAATCTCGTGGAACAGGGAAGACCCTTCCCAAAGTTTATTTTCCCCGCTCATCTGAAAATACAGTATGGGTTATTACTGCAGAAGCTTTGGCTGCTTCATTAATATAAGGCCAAGATTTATGCCTACATTGTGATGTTTAAGGAATGTTTCACATAGTTTGGTATTATGTAACTGTGTACTATATAAACTTTAAAATGAGCAGGGTCTAATATAAAGAAAAAGCAGTGACCTTTCAATGTGGTAAGAACCGATGATGTCCAGCATATTTTCGCGAAAGTTTTGGGTTACTTAATTGCAAATGAAATTGTTAATACTAGTTCAGGCTAGAACATAGTTTTATTGACTTTGCGTAATGAATTTGTATATTATTTTCTCTGTGCATTTTTGTATATTTTGGAGAGCTGTTTTAATGATAATTCTTTAAAAGCAGAGTAGTGGGAATAATAAAGCTTTATGCATGTGATTTAAATTTCCTTGCTGATTTGTAGCCTGAGGTGGTAAGTCAGTTCTCTTCCAGCTGAGAGAAGCTTGAATTCTGTCACCAGCTTGTCAAAATGAGTACCTGATTTTAAGCTTTCTTTGGAAGGTTAGTCATTTCCACCGTGTACACCTGTACTGTTGTGTTTTGCTTCCTAAGAAGTAAATTTCTCATAAAAACTGCGTGTAGACCTTCAGTTCCGGTTACCGTCAGTCATATTTGCAGTGAAACTGGAGTATTTTTTCTAAAAGTAGAAGGGCAACTTCGTATGAGACTATATTAGTAACTTAGGTTTAATTTCTAATAGCAGAAGTGGAAAGAAATGAATGCTGCGCTTTTTAAGGGGTTACTATTAAAAGATCTGATGCTCGAAAGAGAAACACGTTATTTTCTTACTGAGCCAGTTATGGGTTGTCTCTTACCGTGTTGGTGAGGTTATTGGTTTGTAAGACCAAAGATGGTTTTGGAAAGGTCATACCCTACCTAATTCTTTCACAAAACTATTGATGATTTAATTTTTACAATTTGCAAATGATGAAGCAAGATTATTGGAAAGTAACTTGTACAAAGAGAATGAGGTACAGTTAAGCTTTCTTTTCTTCATTGTGTGTGGTACCTCCACATTAAACCGTTTTATTTCTGCCCAGTGTTTTGTTAATTGAGAGATGTTTTGGTTCACCTCTCTAACTTGTTTTTAGAGTAGACTTTGAGACTAGTGATGACTAGTTTGAATGGAATAAAAAAAATCTATTTTTTCCAAGTCCTTTTTAAAATTATTGGTCTCCTTAAAATGTCTCTCAGAAATACTGTCTGCTCTCTTTCTGTCTGTCTGACTCTCTCTCTAATCATGTTTTGGGAATAAGAATTCAAAGTTACAACTTCTACTTTACTAATTTACTTAACTTACCTTCCTATCCTTAATGATTAGTGGGATTGATTTACCGAAACTCAGAAGGACTATGTACTGGCTTTCATGTTTATAACTTTACAGTTTATTCCGTGATAAATCTTGCTAATATGTTCCTTGTTATTTTGCTGGTGTACCTGCTGAAACCTTAGATTTAAAGATATGTGTGTGTGTGTGTGTGTGTGTGTGTGTGTATTTTATGTGGACCTAAACATTTCTAAATGGAGTTTTCTATAGTTTACAAAGACCGTGCCCTCTTCTGGGCTTCCCCTCTGGCCTGGTCTTAAACATTTTGCATTTGTCCCAGTGCCTGTACATTGTCTAGACATTTGCTGTGACTCAAGAAACCTTGTTGAATGATTGGCTGGTGAACAGTTGAGCAGTTGAGTAGATACAGCCAAAAAAAAGTATTCCTGAAATCAGTGTGCAAACCATTATGTAACAGAAGTCTGTTTCTTCCATTTAAGATATTCATTGCTTTTCCATGATTATATATTACTTTTGAGTAGGACAACAGTACAGTTGCCATCTGGGGACATTTTTGTGAGTTAATGGGGGTACTGTAAATAGTTATTTCAGGGTATTGACTGAACTGTGACTAAGGTCACCCTACTTTGAAGGACTTTTCTTTAATGTTGATAGTGTGTATGGTCTTTCCACACACTTACTAGTTAAGGTTTGCAAATTTTGTTATTTGTGGAAGCCTAATTTGCAATCAGTTGGTGGGTGTCTTTTGCTGAGTAACCCAGAGAGGCCCATAGGTAGCTCATGGCTGACCTTAATTTTGTTTTTCTTGTTTGCAGGGTAATGTCCTTGGGCCTTCTGTTTGATTAGCTTCTTGGAGCTTAAACTTTGTATTCTGTAGCGTCCACTGTATTTACTTCCTCTGGGTTGCTGTGTGTCATATAGAATGTGTCTAAGAGTTGCATGGGATCCCTGTGCTGCTGAGTGAAGAGGAAATCCATTGGTGGGTCCCAGCCCCAGCCAGCCTGAAGACTTAGTCAGTTGCAAGCATTAGACACTTGCAGATTTTCAGCTGTTCAGAATGGGTGTTCATCTTGGAAAGCTACATGTTTTGGGTGGCTTTTACATTATAGTCTTTACCTGCTGTTTATGGGAGCTGGAAGGGAGGTAAAACCCTTCTTATAATTTTGTAGTAGCTTTGTCTACAGGTAGGTTTTTAAAGCATTTTTAATGCAGTTTCTTGTTTCATTCTTTATTTTGTTCCCTTGTTTTCATCACTTTTGCCCATGCGCAGACAGGAGCATTCAGTTCAGGTGCACACAAGCAGTAAGCCACATGTCAGCAGCGGGTAAAAGTCGGAAATGGAACAGAGCTCCTGCTCCATGGGTCTGCCTTCTGTTGCCCTGGCCTCTGTTTGTATTCTATTTTTGACTTGGCACTGGCATAACAGAGATAATCAGTTACTACACTTTGTTTACTGTGAAATTGCCGACCATTTCCTGGACCGCCCATCAGCTCCAGTGCAAGAGTTGGATAATTACTTCAAGGCTCCACTGCCTTCAAATCCAGGTGGAGGTTTTAAGCTTGATTTCTTTCTTTTGGTGTTGGAAAAAAAGTTCAAAAGTATAAATGGTGTTCCAGGGAATTCAAAAGTTTGACAAGAAAAATGCAGCATCGAATACATGGAATAAAATATGAAGGTTTAAATGGAGTTAGGACTTTTAAAATTGTATTTACAACTAAGACATTCAGATGTTTCAAAGGTTTCTTGATTTTTAAACCAAGTTATGTAAAGTCTGAGATTTCTCACTGTGTCATAGATGTCCTGAAAAATAAAGGTAGACATCTGTATTTGGTTCCCAGCTGTATAATCACCAACTATTAGTTGAAACTTTTCCTTTGCCTTATAATTTATGATTTAAAACATAACTTAGAAGCCTGTAGGAGACAGTCTATGAATTAGCAGGATTTTATATAAAACTTTCTAGTCGGTACCTTAAAATCCTAGTTATTTTTAAATTGGAAATAATCTCAGAAATACTAGCAAAATCTTAACTTCCTGCATCCATTTCGCAAATGAGAAAATAAAACTTTTAAATAAAGTGCTTCCCCAGGTATTTAAAGTAGGATTCCATTTACAGGTACTAACTAGTGTATTTTTCAAAAACATGATGCTATTAAGACTGTGCTTATCACTGACCATAGACCAAATGAATATAAAGACAAATAATAAGTTTGACCCAGACCATTTAGGGTTCAGATTCTTGCCCTGTTTCTCAAATGGTATCATTTGGGTGAATATTTGAAATGGTGGTAAAAATACTTTCCTTATGGAGTAAAGGTGAAATGACTGTGTATAGCAGATACTAAAAAATATCAGTTTTTGTTCACTCCCATTTTCCCTGAAAAATCTGCTTGTTTAAGATACCAATGTGAGGGGCTGGGGATTTAGCTCAGCGGCATAAGTACCTGCCTTGCAAGCAGGCAGTCGTGAGTTCGATCCCTGGTACCGATAAAAATGAAAAAAATAAAAATAAAAAGATACCAATGTGAGCTTTAGAACAATAGTATTGGGAATATTTTTGAGGACAACTTTATGAAATACAAAAAAACCCCAGGTGATAGTTTTTGTTACATTGTAGTACATTTTATGATACAACCAGAGACTTTGTTGTTGAAGAAAAAACTACTTTTCATTATCTAGATTTTTTGGTTAGCCAATTTAAAAGTCGTTAATGGTGCAATAAATGGAAAGGGGCCATGTCTGTTATACACACTGAAAGTTCTGAGGGCTGGTAACCATGCTAGTTTCTCTGAAGATCATTGTGCTATGCATGATCTCCTAGTTTCTCAAGCTGGGGGAGCAGATACCTTTAACTTAGTAAATTGTCAATTTCCTTTTGCTGAAACTCAGAAAGATGTGACAGATGTCTTGCTTTTTAGAAAGGCTTTAGTTTGAGAACTTATTGCATGGCACTCTTGCCATTTTTTTTTTTTTTTTTTAGGTTCTGTGCATCTCTGTAGCTAAAATCAACCCCTTCAGCTCATTTGAGCTTTGCCCCCTCCATAAATTGACCACCACAATGGAATACTCAACAGCCCAAGCTCTTTACAAGTAGAGAAAAGCTTTGGAGAGTTTTCTTGGTTTCAACAAATTAACCCAATTAACTGGGGAGGCTGGAGATAAAGATAGATTCTCTTGCACATTAATTCCCCAGGTAAGCAGGCAAGGCACAGAGAAGATGCCAGAAACCTTAAATAAGGTGGCAGCTAAAGAGAAGTATTTTTCTGCCTTTTAAATAATATTTTCCAAGAACCTTTCGATTGTTTTCCTCCCAGCAGTCTTACAAAGAATTTTTATTGTTACTCTCTTACTGGTTCAAATGAGTAGACACCAAAAATTAATTGCATAATAATAATAATATCACGTCTGAAGAGGGCTTTGCGGTATGCAGAACACGTCCACCTACCTCATCTCATTTGATCCACATAACAGTTGTATTAGGGAGGAAGGAGGGAATTATTGACCTTATTTTAGAGACTGCTATTTATGCAAGGTCAGGAAGCAGAGACCTTGGCAAGTCTTGAGCAAAGATCTGTCCTTTTTTTTCCAGCCACATCATTCTTTTTTTCCATAAAATAGTGTGAACCTGTTGAATTCAGAAGAGGACTAGATGGCAGAACCATCACTGAAGTCCCTTCTCTTTCTTTTCCTCTGTTTAGCCTAGTTAGATATTCTTAGTCTCTACATACAATTCAAGAAACAGAATATAGCGGCACAGTGTGGTGAGATGTTTGAGGGTTCATTTAGCTGAGTGCACTCAAAATTAATTTTTAATTAAATTAATTAATTTTGTATTCTTTATAACCTATACCAGGTATCAGTACCTCCTGCTGGTTTCATCCTGTTTTGCAGTTACAGTTGATATAATTGCCTTATAGATTCTGTTATTTGTTAAATTACTCGTTTATTTTTGTATTTCATGTTTAGTATCTGGAGTAGAACAGAAAAATTATTATGCTTGTGCCCCCTTGGGACCCTTTGGAGATTGTATGGTGACATCTTCTGGGACATAGTCTGGTGAGTTATATTTTGCTTTTTGTGTGTTGTTAGCTAGTTACATGAAACATACAATGCATTTTAAGAATTGCATAAATTTGGTGCGTATGAAATGTCAATGTATCATTGCAGGTATATTTAGTATGAGATTTTTAGTAGTTAAAACTAAAATCATGATTGCAATATAGTAACTTTTTGAAGTATTTGACTTTTTGAATATATATTTTTTAAAATTTCTGTATGGTAAAGGAGTTTGTATACAATAACACTGTAGGATATATAGTAATTAGAGAAGTTGCTCTAACTTGGGAAATTTTAGTAAAAATATTAATCTCCAAAATTTGGTGAAATAATTTGCAGAAAGTTCTAATTGTGTGTAATACATAAAGCAAGGCCAACAGGTGGCTGAATGGAGAATCATTTTCATTTAGTTGAATAGCAAATTGCTGAGAGAGCGACATTCCTTTTATCCTCCTATGAATTTAATCTGTTAAACATATGCAGTGCTGTTGCTTCCTTTAGCTGTCTTTATTTTCAGGGTGTCACGTGTCTGTGGTGACAGAGTTGTCTGCATGACCTCAAGTCTTTGAAAGGAACGTAATTAATAACGGTCTTTGTAACACTTTTGCATTTTAAAAACTATATTATTGTGAGTCCTGCTTTGATATGTCAGTCTACGTGGCCAATACCTTTGTAAGTCCTTGCTTTGAATGACGTAGAGAGGTCACGGTCCTTGGAAAATGCAGCTTCATGCTAAGCATTTTCTAAATTAATGTCCAACAGCAGAATGATTCATGATTCGAAGGAGTGATGGACAAAATAAATGCTGCTATTGTTAAGTAGATGGTGCTTCTCAGCTTTATAAAAAATGCATTTTAGAACACTGAAAAAATGGAAACACTGCTAAAACTTCTGGTTTAGGGAAAAACAGCAGCAAGTTTGAAAGCAGCCTCAAGTGTAAAAGCACATTTAGGGGATTCGGTAAGAAACCGTGTAGCTGAGTGACTAACTCACCTAAAGCTAGGAGCAGCTGGTGGAAATTGCGGGAATGTGTGTGGCAGTCTAAATCTGTCTACATCTGTGTTCATTTATATTTGTATGCATAGGTTCTGTTTGTAAGCAAAATGCCATTCTAGCAGAGCAGTAAAAGGGGAAGTGAATCAACTTGAGAGAAAGTCAGCTGCCTGTCCTAGAAGGTGGTCACATATACAGTGGTAACCATTAGGATTCCTCTGACTCTTCAGACTATGCAGGCCAAAAAATTGTAAAGTTGAGACTATGTTACAAAGACTTTATTTTTGACATCAGGCTTGTTGAAGTCCAGCACGTCTGTATATAGTAAAATTCAACCTGGCATTGAACCCCAGATTGCTGCCTGGAGCGACCCACTTTTTAATTTTTTATCTTGAGACAGGGTCTCTTTAGGTTGCTAAATTGCCCAGGTTGACCTTGCACCGGATCCACCTGAGTGCTTGGATTACAGACCTGTGCCACCACGCCAGCCAGAGTTGGTTCTGAGGTATATAGTTTGATGTGTTTGGACCAGTGTATCCAGTCATGTACTGACTGATAGAGTCAGTATATCCAGTATTCACATCAACCCCAGATCCCCTCTGTAATCTGTTTCCTCTCACCACGTCAGGTCCCGGCAATCGTTGGTTGATAGTTTGCTTTGTCTAGAATGTCACATAAATGGAGTCACTAGCATTTTTCTGCCTGTTTCTTTTGCTTGGTATATTCCTACTTTGTACCTCTTTATTGCTGAATGGTACTCCATTGTGTGGATGGACCACGGTTTGTTCATTTGTTTCCCTGAGATCGGTGTTTGGCTTGCTTCAGGTTTATGGTCACTAGGAATCACACTGTTACAAGCAGTCATCTTCAGGTCTTTCTGTGAACATATATTTTTATTTTTCTTGGGTAAATACAGGAGTGGAGTGGCTGGTTTATTTAATAAGTATGTATTCAACTGTGTAAGTTGCCAAATTGTTTACCAAAGAAGCTGCACCTGCACAGGCTTGTGAGTAGCTAATAGGCTGAAGTGTGTGCAGATGAAGTTTCTTAAATTTCATTCAGCACAGATTTATTTTTATTTTATATCCAGTTTTAATAAGTTTGGTTAGTAAATATTTTCATCTCACTGTGGTTTAGAAACACTAAATTAAAAAGCCTTAGGGGTAAGTGGTTAGTGGTTATAGGGCGACAAATTATGTTCACCAACATAACTAAACAAGAGTAGGAACTTAAAAGAGTGAAATTCCTCTTGATAAATTCTGTCTGGCAAGTTTCCAAGCCTCTATGCATATTAAAATCAGTTGGAGTTCTTTTAAAAATTTCTAAACCCAAGCTCCACCCTAGTTCAGTTAAATTACAAATCTGGAGTGGAACGCAGATAATCTGTATTTTATGAAGCTCCTTGAATAATTGCGTTGTATAGACAAGTTTGGAGCTGTGTACTGGAATCACAATACAGTGAAATAAAAGGAGCACTGGACGTGGAGCCAGGAGACTGGGGTTTAGTTAAGGTCACTAAGTACCTGTGGACTCAGGCACACCCTTGCCTTTCTGGCTTTAGTGTCTTCTATTCAGGTAGGTGAACTTCCAAGAAAATTCTGGCATTGAAACTAGGTGATTCTAGCCATCAGTAATACATTAGAGACCCCATCTCATAAAAAGTTAATTATCAGTTATGCATTAACCCTAACTCCATCTCATAAAAAAGATGTTCTATTCTGAAAGGTTCATTTGAGGTGCTTCTTAGAAAAGATTGTGTTAACATGAGGATGTTTTTCTTTTGGATATTTGAGGTGATTACATTGTATCTCTTTTCACCTATGTGGTAATATGAGTGAGGAATAGAAAATTTAAATACAGTTAAAGCATATAAACAGTGCTTTGCTTACTGGAGGTAAGTTTTTTTTTAAAAATCAACTTGGTTTTTAAAACATTTGCAGATCTCAGTACTTTCTAAAAAAGAAGACCTTGTATCGCAGTTGTGAAACATATCAGCTATTCTCAGAGCTGGCCTAAAGAGCTGAGGTAGCGAACGTTATATTTTCAGAATATCATTTTTGATGCCAAATGTGTGGGAGGCTCGGCCTCTAAGAGAGCGTTAGAGCTGTGTACATGGCACGTAGGCTGTAGCCTCTGACTGTTTGGTGGATGGAGATCTGTGTGTGCTGGGGTTTGGGCCTGTTTGCTTTAGTCGCAGGCATAATATTCACATTGGGGTATTGCATACCCTGGTACTTTAAAAGTGCACATTGTGTTTTTCATATATATGTGTGTTATTTTCCCTTTTCTTGAAGGAAATGCGACATTTAGTTTGTAAATTTCTTTCAAGAGATAGTGAAGTCTTACAGGTGAAAAATGCAGAGACTTGAGGTCAAAGAATGGGTGTGATGCTTTTTTCATTTATCTTTTCCTTTTGAGAAAATTAGACACAGTGTCCTGGCCACATCATCTTTTTTTGTTTGTTTGTTTGTTTTGTTTTGTCTTTTTATCCGTACTGGGGATCGAACTCATGACTGCCTGCTTGCAAAGCAGGTGCTTATGCCGCTGAGCTAAATCCCCAGCCCCCACATCATCTTTTCTTTTCAGAAAAAAGATGTTTGGAAACAGTACAAATAGCCTGCTAATGAATGTGTAGATTATACTTTTTAAAAACATTTACATTAATTTTTAGTTATTGGAATTGTAAATTCATTCTCTTTGTAAAAGTGGAAATCTTTTACATAAAACTGTGATGCACCGCTATAAAAATTTAAAAAGCGTATATTGTCTCGCTTACCATTTATGCTTTTGGAATTCCTTGTGGAAATGTTCCTATGGGTGTACGCACGCGCGTGTGTCATGGTGAGAAGTGGACACCCACTCTTTTTTATAAATACATAGAAAGGATACATCACAGTAGGGGTTTCCTCTAGATGTGTCTTGCGCTAGTAGGAGCTGGAGAGGGATTTTGTCATTTTCAGTATGTCATTATGAATCACTTGAATTGGGTGTCTTTCAGTGTGTGTGTTATGTTTATAGACCTCAAAAACAGAAAAAAGAATAAGCAATCACTGAAGCAGGTTAATGAGTAGAAAAGGGTAGAAGTTATCTGACCAGGAAAAGTGGTTAATCGAGTGTTTTTGGACCCTGAGAACTCCCTGAGCTCGCTCTCTGCATTTAGAGAACTCAGCGAGCAGGGGAGAGCCGCAGTTCTGGTGCGCACTACAACCTGTTGCTTGGAGTTGCCCCTGACTTAGACATCTAGCCTGGGAGTTGACTGTGGATAATTTCTAGAAGTATTCGCGCTCTGTAACCTTATCTTTCATGGAACCTTGCCTGCCTTCGTCTCAGCAGATTCTGCTTATCATGAAAAGGGCATTGTTTCACTTCAAATTGGCTTTTCTGCTTGTATTTTCTTTTGTATACTTCCATGTACAGAATATGTGCTGCTTCTATTGCTATTACATTAACACTTGTCAGAAATTTTCTGTTTCCAGTCTTTAGCATTAAACTCTGCCTCAGTAGAAACATGAAGGTCGTGTATTCTGATTTTTAGTGGTCTGGAATATACAGGGTAACATTCGACCTGATTCCTTGATTTCCTGTGTATGAATGCAGTGGTAATCATGGTATGCACACACCTGCCAGTAGTGTTTTTAAAGGGGCTTTGTCATCCTTTACCTTGGCAGTATGCTTTTTTAAAAAATTTTTAAAATTTTTTATTGGTACCAGGGATGGAACTCACGACTGCCTGCTTGCAAGGCAGGCGCTTATGCCACTGAGCTAAATCCCCAGCCCCAGCAATATGCTTTTTTGATACAGGCTTATTTTAGAACATGAAATAAAACGTTGACTCATGAATAGTATTGCTAAGTCCATAAGCAGTTTTTTTGGTGGTAAAACCTGGGGAATATGCTGCTAAAACACACGTCATCTCACTTTTGTAGTCACTGTAACTGAATTTCCTAATGAATACATTGTAATTAAAAAAATAGATTTGGTCTACTTAGCAGGAAAGCCCATGCTTAGCATGCATGAGTGCCTTCCCCTCAAAACGAGAGAAAACATAACAAAGGTTTAAAAAAACACTGTAGGAAAATGCTAGGCATCCTCCTTTCATACTGTGCTGGCCCCGTGCAGTGTTGCTTACCATAGTTCGTCTGCTTGGGAGCAGGGTTGCTTGCTGACTTTGAAACTGTTCACTCTTTAGTGTCATTTTTGGCAGAATCCTAGAATTTGAAGGCAAGTAGGCTACCTCTTCAAATGTGGCAGTGCCTAAGTGGATTCTGTTCAAAAAATAACCTGAGAAAGTTGATTCTGTCTTTCTCGGGGTTTTGCCCTAATATTTAAATTCTCGGGCCAAGAAATTCTCAGGAATTTAATGACAGAAAATGTTCCCTTTGCAGTCACCATGACGAACGGGAGGTGGCTTCAGTGGAAATGTTTGCCAGTGAGCCTCTTTCTTGTGGAACTGGGCCTCTGTATGTTTCCTAGTGCCACATGGGAGGTGTCCTTTAGAAGGGCAGTGTGTAAGTGAGAAGGATTCTTCTGAAAGATGTAAGCAGTTTCTGAGAGTCCAGGGTCCACCATCCATGCTCCTACATGAGTTCTTTAAGGAACAGACCTGAAGCCGTCTGGTCCAGGTAGCAGGACCATAGAGAGATTGGGGAAGCCTTCAAAAAGCTGTTCTGAGAACGCACTATTGTTTGGAGCTAAAGTAGTGGTGTTTGATGACTAAACAGTGCAAATAATGTTCCAGCTCTTAAAATTCCTTGTCAGAAGTTTGGCAGGGAGCAGCCGTGCATGTAATATTGAAAAGTAGCCTTTCCTGTTTCAGTGCAGTGAGTCTGTCTTTCAGAAATTTTACCTAGAACTATTGGCCTGTTTTGCATTGGCCTGACTCGCTAGGTTACATGTGCAAGATAGAACTTAACAGACAGCATGATTTCTTTAATTTTCTGTTTGAATGTGTTTTCTACAGTGTGTGTCTGCTTCAGTAAAATATGGTAACTTTCTTACACCAAGCTGCTTGGTTAAAATTGCCAGAACACTTAAACCATATCTGTTTTTTTCTATTTAACAACCTAAGTTGAATCATTCTCTTCCATGTAGATGTCTCAAGATGTGGGTAGTTTTGCCAAGAAGGTGTGGCCCAGTTGCTTGCCGAAAAACTTTACAAATGGTAGTTACTCATCTCCCGATAATGTGTGTTTCATGGAGCTTCGAATTTTGACCTTTATATAATCTGCACCTACTTTTCTGGTATTACAGGTACTTAATGCTAGGTAATGTATCGTTTCTGCCTGTTTCTGTAAACCTTTGTGTTCTGCCACCCTTTATTTTCAACCCTAAGAGATTCTAAAAGTCCCTGGTGGTTGGCTTGGGACGGCAGGGTTTGTAAAAAGTGGGAATAGACCTGTGGTGCTTCTGTTTGCATGGACTTCCATCTCCTTCTTCAGTGTGGTACACGTTAGCTTGCCTTGCACCTGTTGTCCCTTCTTAGACAAAAAGAATGACTTTTAGCTTGGTGTTGGTATGAATTTCTACTCCACTCAGAAAGAGTGAAGTCTGAGTTCATGTAACGTGGTTGGTGAAAATCCATGGTTTTTTGTGGAATGCTGGACTTGGGAGGGACCCAGCCCATTGTCCCAGTGTGGACCAATTGCTTGAGTGTCACTGTTGGTGGCTTTGCTGACTAGTGCTGAGTCTGTCCATAGCCCTCGTTCCTTCTGTCTTAGACACTCCTCTCCTTGTCCTTCAGAGTGAAGTGTCAAGGAAAGCAGTTCCTGTTTGTAGCTGGCCATCAGGCTTTGTAACTTACAGGCCTTCAATCTGTTCTCTTGTACTCTTTCTAGGCTGGAGAATTAGTTGAGAAAGGCAGGTTTATTTTATCATTTGGATTAGGATAAACATTTGTTTGTGTAGCAGGGAAGTTTGATGATGCTTCACATAATTTTCTGACGTTCGTTACCTGAGAAATCTTAAATGCACACCAAAGTAGCTGGAAGGCAGTATTCTGATCCTGTCTCTAAAGAAACAAATGTGCAGTGCAATATAAATTTATTTTTAATTTAGTAAAATATAAAGTAAGTTACTTTAAATCTAGAAAGGTTGTGAAACAAGGATAGTTTGGCTAAGTCAGAATTGGAAATAGAGGAAGGTTCAGAGTAAATAGTGATCCCTGCCTATATTGATCCCTTTGACATTTGCTTTATCTCAGGAATCATTATGAATGTTTGTTTTTCTGTTGTGTGGTAGACAAGGAGTGTAGTAAGGGCAGTATGGTATCTGGTATCTTCACCCTGTCCTTTGAAAGTAGAGCATGTATGTGAAAGAATATGGTTCTATTTTTTTTTTTTTAATGTTCTTAGTGTTCTAGTTGTTTGGGTTTTAAATGAATATCAAAGCTTCAGGAAATGCTAGCAAATAGTTATATTTTTAATAAAAGGATTTATAAGAATTATGTGATATAATTGCTTTTCTGTAAACTTTTCATCATAAAATCAGTTATTTGACATTTGTACTAGCAATCTGAGATAGTTACCTATATAACCTACTTGCAGTTGAAGATCAGTGAAAATAAATGAAAATAAATAAATGCTTTCAGAAATGATATTGTCACTGTTCCTCTTTATTGTTATTATTTTTTGTTTTGAGACAGCATCTCTCTATATAGTACAGGCTGGTCTTGAACTCACTATGCAGCCTACGTTGGCCTTGATCTTGCAGTGATCCTCCTGCCTTAGCCTCCCGAGTTCTGGGATTGCAGGTGTGCACCACCGTGCCTGGCTCATGTTTTGTTTTCTAAAGTTTGTTTTATCTGCAACTTTCTAGGATCCTAATTGTTACTTGTGGTTCTCATTGAAGTGGTTTTCCAGACCATGTAATATGGTAATTGTGATGAACAATGTTAGCTTTCATTGTGAATCATCCTGCCAAGTGTTAAAGAATCCAAAAGAATGATGTAGGCTTTGCAAAATAGGTCATGATGTGTTTTATGATCAACCATATAATAACACTTCATATTTTATTTTATTAATACTAAATACATGATGTATCGGGATAGGATGAACCTTTTTAAAATTTTATTTTGAAAGTAGTAAAATGGGATAAGATGAACTTTTAAGCTGCAAAATAATTTTCTTTAAATAATTCATTAGGCATATAGAAAGCGGATTGTTTACAAGGTTTGAGGGAAACCTTTTTCAAAGACTCTTATATACCTAACAAGTAATGTTTTAGGTTTAAATTGGATTCTTTGAAAAAACTGATCAGCTTAATCAGTTGTATTATACACTCCTTAAACACAGTTGAAAAGATTTATAGTTATAAAGAGTTGAACATTTATTATAAGTTAAATGAGACAAATATGGAAGATGCACATGTGCAAGTTTGCGTGCTTGCTTTTATTTGCTTAATGTTCAGATCTACATTTGGTTTGCTTAATATTGCTTCAAGGAATAAACTTTATGTCATTGAGTGGAGCGCTGCATTTAGAGAGGTACTGTTTTCTGTTGCTTCTCCGTTGGAACTTTTTGTAATACTGTAGACTTTCATTTAACCTGCCTGTGAGTTCTTGATGGCAGAGAGGTAGTGGTCATTTCATACCTGCTCTGCAATGCTTAGTAAACATAGATAATAATATGCCCATTGCGTGTCAGCTGTATTCCACGCCCCAGGACTGCTAAAAACCTCTGGCCCAGGCCCAAGGTTCTGTGAATTCTATACTCTTCTAATCTGAGTCTGTTTACTTTTAGGAGTGTGCAGATTGGTGCCTAAAATGGAAGTAGATATAAATGGCGAGTCCAGAAGTACGCTGACCACCCTGCCTTTGCCAGTGGCTGAGGTCAGCTCCCCGGGAAAAGCAGAGGCGGAGAAGCCCCGCTGCTCTAGCACGCCCTGCTCTCCCATGCGTCGGACTGTGTCAGGCTACCAGATCCTCCACATGGACTCTAACTATTTGGTCGGCTTCACGACCGGCGAGGAACTCCTGAAGTTAGCCCAGAAGTGCACGGGAGCTGAAGACAGCAAGGCAGAAGCCGTGCCTGCCTTGCGCTCTAAACAGCTGGATGCAGGACTGGGGCGTTCCTCTCGCTTGTATAAGACCAGAAGTAGGTACTACCAGCCATACGAGATTCCCGCTGTCAATGGCCGGAGACGAAGGCGGATGCCCAGCTCAGGAGACAAGTGCACTAAATCCTTACCTTATGAACCATATAAGGCCCTCCATGGGCCCCTGCCTCTGTGTCTTCTTAAAGGTAAGAGGGCTCACTCCAAATCCCTGGACTACCTCAATCTAGATAAAATGAACATCAAGGAGCCAGCTGACACGGAAGTGCTACAGTACCAGCTTCAGCACCTAACCCTCCGAGGGGACCGAGTATTTGCTAGGAATAACACATGAGTGACTTGTCCTGCTAGAACACTTTGGGTCAGCCTACATGTGGCTAGAGAAAATCCACTGTTGTTCTCTGTACATGACTCTTCACATTCTAGATGGTTATATCGGCTAAGTGTTCCTGGAACATAAAAATTGGATCAAATTTTGAATACAGGAATGAAATCACAGGTACCTGGGAGGGGGGATATCATCCTAGAGCACGTAACTGCAATGGAAACAGAATGCTGACTGCTAAGTTTGTATAGCTCTTTAGCTAGGAAAAAAGCTCTGGTACGGGAATTTCATCTTTAATGATTCTGACACTCAAATTGGGAATGTTACCTGCTTGGTTGTTGCTGACTTGGTATGATTCATTAGAAATTTATATCCTAAGTACACAAGTACTTTTCGAATCTCTGTATTTTACTATAAAATGTATGTAATGATTTGTTTTATGAAATTTAGAACTTGAACATTGCTGAATTGGACCACTTTTTATTTTTAAATATTAAGTTTAAATATTTTGTAACTGGTTTTGCACTGAAAAAAGTTAACATTTCAGATTAAGAGAATAATTGTCTTCACTTGCCTCAATAATATTGAGCAATGAATTTTTTTTAATTCCATATGGAAGGTTATTGATCTCTATGGCTGTAAAATATTTCTTTATAGCATTATTAAAGTATGTCTTAATAAAATTAAATTTGGGATACAAAGTATTTATTTTACAATGGGCAGGGGGAAGCTTTTCCGTAAAGTTTCCAATATGAAGTTTTCATAAGTTGAAAAAGTTTCCTTAGTCTTATTTTCTATTTTAAAATCCATCTGGAACTTTAAAATGGAAAGGATTCTTTTAATTGTGGATTATAGGCATAATGATGTTTGCATCTGAATTTGCTATAAGTGAACAGAACTTTAATAGAGGATCTCATGATTTCTACTATTGAATGCTTGAACTATGTATGAAGTAATACTTTTCAGCATGGCTTTGGGTCATTCCGGTTTCAGTTCTGTGCAACACAGCACTCATTGAATTTCCAGTGTAGGATTAGGGTGGAAGCCTAAGGTGCTTCTACAGTTTTAATGGGTTAATCCTGGATTACATAGCAATTTATGTCAATTGCACTGGTTTAATTTGTTGCTAAAGAAATAATGCCCTGGCTTTAGTAACAAATACAATTCAACTATTCTTGAATATATTTTGAAAAAAATGTATGTAACTTACCTTTTGTAAACATTTCTATTTCTTTTTTTTTGTCCTTTTTTTGACTTCTGAAGGTGCAATTTATTATTGATTTGGCATTTCTGGCAATATAGAATTGCATATTTTATGTTTCATTTTGGGATCTGAGAGTTTCTTAGGTGTTAGCAACCTTGCCTATAAAATAAGAACACCTTTTAATTAATTAATGAGTGGGTCATTCCTGGTACAGTTATGATTTTCCTTTAGCCAGAATCAATGGCAAACTATTTAGAGCAGAATAACTATTAGAAAACCCTAGGAACTCTTAATCAATGTTTATTATACTTTCACTAAGGCAAACCATGTGAAAGAGATTTGGAAAGTTGGCCTGGGTCATACTGGGTTGATCAGATTTCTTGGAGAGCTGGAGATTTCCAGCTGTTGTATATTTTACAGTAAATTGCACCTTTGTAACATAGTGTATTGACGAATGATCACTAAGATTAACTATATCTATACAATTACTAGTTTGACAAGAAATAGAATCCTATCAGATGCCAAAGAGTTGGGATTTTTACATTTAATGATTATACACCATTATTTATTGATAATTTACTGATGGAACTGTATTATTTCTAACTATGAAATAAAAGGGTGATGTAAACACTTATTGTTATGTGGTGTTTTGAGGAGGCTAGTTATGTTCATGCTTACATCGAGGAACTTATTTTAAGGCCCTAATTGTCTAAAACAAAAGCCAGAAACATTTACCTTTGATTCGAATTGGCATTTCAAGGTAAAGGACGTATTCGTGGCAGTGAAGTGTGTTTGTCTGTCGCGAAACACAACTGTTTACCTCTGAGATCTGTCCTAGCCCAGGTGCCTAAATTTCTTGAGCTAAATAAAAATATATAACTTTTTGTTTTGTTTTTTATTTTTATTTAAAAGCAAGAGAAAGTGCGGCAAAATGAGGGTGGAGAACATGAGTTACGGTATTTTTGCACTTTTCTGAGGAGTTATTGGTAGATGATTTTAAATTTGATTTCTTAGAAAGAAAGCTTCAGAACTCTCGATCAGTTTTTGAAATATTTCTTGCCCAGCTTTTTCATCAGTTTAGTCTTACTTTCTCTGCACTTCATGGAATTGTACTTCTGTAGAAGAAAAAAAAAATTATTTAACAAAAGAAAGAAAAAAATAGAAAAGAAGGGTACAGAATTCAACAAAAAATTTAACACTTAAATCGCTGGTTGATACATTACATATTGTCATCTCAGAAATAATTGTTCAGGTTACAAAATCAAAGCATAAAAAGTGGATAGGACACTCAAACATTGACAGTGCAAACCCTTCTTTTCAGTGATCCAACAAAAATTTAGTAATATGGTCGTCTGTCTTACACACATCCTTTAGAGCACTTTCCTTGTGGAAGAAAACATTTTTTTTAAAAAAGGATAACCTGGATCTCTGATGTCTTTCAGCTGAGAATATTCCTGTAACATAGTTTCTATTTTGAAACCGTTTTTAAGCATTCAAGTTAATATTCCATATTAAACAGGGCATACTTTGGGCCAGAATATAGCTAATGGTGCTATCCGATAGTATTTGCAATAGTCCATTTAACTGCATTTGTTTTGAAATGTCTGCCTGTTAGAGGCTCACATGATGCATAAGTAGCCACGGAGCGTCCTCTGTGCCCAGTCCGTGTGCAGCTTCTCAGCGCCCTTTTGACTTCCACGCAGCTCCGCTTACAGTCATCAACGCACAGGAAAAGCTCTGAACTCTGTTTCTCACGTGTGACATGCCTATCTGTGGTCACTGCCATTGTCCTTCCTGACATTTACTTACTTGGGGTTTGAAGGCCAAGTGGCTTTTCACTGAGGAAGGAGTATTTCTTGGAATCTTGAGAAAAGCAATCCATTTTACATATTTTTCTCATTACTTTTTTCTTCTGTAGACGGGCTATTACTCCATTATAACCACTGAACTTTTTGTAAGGAGACTTTTAAATGATTCTGGCCTAAGTGGTTTGTTCTCAATCAGAGGACACAAGAGGAGAGGCTGTTGCAGTGTATAAACAGGGTGAATGCTCTGGAAGAGCTGGGGTGGGGAGAGAACGTGGGGGTGCATCTCTGTAATGCAGAGTACAGCAAGTATTAACCGAAATTGCCTTTTTAAACAATGTAATTTGATTAGGGAAATGGAATTGATGAGGAAGATTGCCTTGGAAATATGATAAATGTGATTGCAAAGCGAGAAGTGGAGGCTGTTGGCCCTTAATGATGCACTTCTCTTTGTAATGTGGTTCTTTAGATAAGAATTATGCAATGGACTGCTTTGATACTTCACATTAGAAAAAACATTAAGGATTTTTCTGGCTGAGAAGAGTAGAGACAATCCAAAAAAGAATGGGTTTGACTAGTTTTACTGAGTTTGCCAAGCCCCCAAAATGGCTTTAACGGGAGATATGTTAAATTTCTATTTTTGCCATTGTAAAGTGGATTTGTGCAAGGTTTTCCTAAAGGGTTTCAGAGAGAAGGTCTGAAACCAAATCTGAGTGTTGTCAGCCCTGATCTTGGGGTCATGTTTAATGTACAGAGCTGTAGGAGGGCACAGGATGGGACAAGGGAGCCCACTGTGCTGGAAGAGAAGCTGCACAGGGAGTGGATCCTTAAGTGATCCTGGCTGGAGTCCCTTCTGGGAAGAAGAGCTTTGATGCTTTTGCTTTTGTGGAAAAGTTACTGGCATGTTAAAAGTTCTCTCTGAATGCTCTCAGAAAGGTTCCTCACTGTGCGCCCATAGAAAGGGGAGGGAGTGCTGGGTCCATAATGTTCACCTTTAGCTTCACTCGCCAGGAAGAGTATTCTTTATCACACTTTTATATAAAGGCTTCCACATGGAAATGTATATTTGGAAGACTTTGAATCCTATACTGCTGGTCTAATGCTACAGTAAGAGGCAGGAACTTATGTAACGAAAAGTTTTTAAACTTAGTGGAATTCAGATCTGAGCTAAGTTAGTGGAGCCGGGATGGTGAGTATTGAGCGTGCCATACCCCAGGTTCCTCATCTGTGTATGTGACAGACTTCATTAATCCACCAGAGCAGTCTGGCTTAGTGTCCAAATGCAAGCTCATTATCTTTCTTAGCCCAGACACGAGGGAACTGTAAGAATTGACTGGTGTTCTGTGGGAGATAAAACATGTTCACCTGCCACAATCTTACACCCTCTCAGTGAGGGAAAGTGTGTACTGAAAAGTGGTTTCAACACTTGAGGAGGAAGCCATTCTAGACTCTGTCTTCTGTCCCAAGAGCACACAAAGAATGAATGGTTCCATCATCATCACCCACAGGCATGACTGCGAACATCCTGGCACTCGGAACAGAAGATTTAAGACAGTTTCCACCATCAGGGACATGACTGTTAATCAAAGAGATGGGTAAAGCAGCAGAAGACACATGCTAAGTCAACAGCAATTCAAAGACAGGAGCTTAAATCCTATGGGGCTGAAATCTGAGAAAGAAATCTTCGTAGTTTTCTCTGGGAAGCCTAGCCAGCCTACTGAATGTTGCGCTTACATTTCTGATCTGTGTCAAAGTTGATAAAGTTACTTTTTTCTCAGAAGTGCTTGCATAGGGACATCTAGGGGAACAAAGATATGGGGAAGGCAGAATCTAAATGCTGGACTCAGGGATGCGTCAGGGCATGCCAACAATGTTTTATTTGTTGTCTCTACATGTCTTTAGTTGTCTGCTAAAATACTCTGACCTATTTTCTAGAAGAAATGATTAAGGTGCAAGGATAGTTAGAAACTGAACATTGGATCTAAAGGTTGGGAAAGCAAGAGCTATGAATAGATAGGTAGAGAGATAGTTGATAGTTTAGTGATATTCCCCTTGTATTGCTACTCCATTTATTCTGGAGCAGAGTGGATTGCACATGACAAAGAGATTTATTTAATTATTTAACTTAAACATTTAAAGATGTGCATTCTTTATATATTTTGTATTAGAAGTGAAATTATGAAAAAAAAAAAAAAAAGAAGTGAAATTATGTAGGAAATGTTTTGCTTGACAAACTTCATAAGATTACCATTTGGAATATGTTATTTCAAGAATATTGGTATCAAATTTTCCTAGCATTATATATATAAATATGAAACATTCTAATATATATGAAATTTATATGTATGTACTAGTCATATACATTGCTAATCTAGTAAGATTTTAATGCAGTTCTAAGAATTTTGTAGGGGGATAGGCTGTGTATGTGAATGAATTACTGCTTACTGGTAGGGAACATCAGGTAATGCAGTTCAAAAGGATACTTACTTACTAAACATGACAGGTTGACTTTTTTTCTTTTAAAGAGAAAAAGATGTAGCATATTACCCTTGGTATAAAGTTACCTAATTACTCTCCTCTCCTCCAGAAATTCAATTCTTAAATGTTTGTTGGGTATTCTCTTAAAGTGAAATGATGCATGTTGTTTTAGTTTTCTCACGTTGCTGAGATAAAATACCTGACACTCAAGGTAAAAAGGGGAAAGGTTTATTTAGCTCACAGTTTATAGAGATCAATCCATAATGGGCTGGCTCCAAGGCAGAGTAGCACATGGCAGAGGGGCCGCATTTCATGGCAGTGGAAGACAATAAAAGCATCAAAGAAGGAGGGTCAAACTTTTTTGTTTTCCTTATGTTTTATGCAGGCTACCCATCCTAGCATGGGTGTAGCATTTTTAATCCTAGCACAACTATCAGTAGATAGCAAATCAATAGACTGATTACTAATCACACACCTTTGGTCCCAGCCCCACACACTACACACAGCCACTCTGAAAAGCCTACCCACCCCACTGCATGAAGCTTTAGGGGGACATCTAGACACAAACCATAGCATTCCACCTCTAGCTCCCTGAGGACTCATGTATATTCCTTTATATAAAAAAACAGTCCATTTCTAAGAGTTTCTAAAGTCCTAACAGTTTCAGCATTGCTGAAAAGTCTTCAGTCCAAAATCATCTCTGAAATTCAAGGCAAACTTTTAGCTGTGAGCCTCTGTACAAATGAAAAGAAAGTCAAACGCTTCCAGCATTCAATTGCTTGAGATACTTCTGTTCCAAAGTTACAAATGGGGATTCAAAGGAATGGGACCAAAGCAAGTCTCAAATCCAGCAGGACAAACATTAAATCCCACAGTTCCACTTTCAGCATGCCTGGCAATCTGTGGAACTCCAGAAGATTTGGGTGGCTCCACCTCTGCAGAACAGCAGATATTTGTAGCTCCCACAGCTTCTCTCAGGCTAGTTCTGCTACCTACTTAAGTTCTCCTCAGACAATCCACTCTCCTGGCTTCTCCAAACTGCTGACGTTTCCGGTGCACCTTTGGCTTTACACACTGCCCTTGCAGGTACATACTGCCTGGCCTTCCAGGCCTTTTTTTGAAATCTGGGTAGAAGCCTTCCTGATCCTGCAACTCACATTCTGCATCCATCTAAACCCAGTGCCACATGGATGATGCCAAGGTCTGTCATCAGCTGGAGCAGCAGTCAGACTTTTTTTCTGGTTGTAGGGGTCGAGTGCCTGGATGGTTGCACACTCTGTACCCAATCCAGAGGAACAAATTCCCGGGGCCACCTTCTGGAACATGGTGTTCTGCAGGTTTCTTC